AATGAAGTTTCCAAAGGTCCAACCAAGTCTCACATGCCTACAAATATGGTCAAGCATCCTCATATCAAGTTTCAAGGCATTCAGCACAAAATTGCACAGTCAAAACCCTAAATTGCACTACAGTCAACTGTAGGGGTAAAATGGTCATTTGACAGTCAGAAGTTCAAATTTTTGGTCAACATATCATTTTGAAGCCACAAACATCATTTGATCAATGCTTGATCATGATTCTCAAAATTTGGCTCAGAAATCATCAAGATGCAAAAGTTTCCTTATTTGGACAACTGAAAAAGTCAACTGAAATTGACCAGGGCATAACTTTCACATGGATTATCAGAAAAATTCCATCCAAAGCTCATTTTTAAGAGAAAGACATTTCCTACAACTCATCTTCATACTTCAAGTCCAAGAAATGCTCTCACAAAAAGTTATCAATTTCAACATTATAGGTCATTTTCAAAAGTCAACAAAAAGGGACTTTAAGTCAAAGGCCATAACTTGAGATTGGTAAAACAAAATGACATGGGACCAAAGGCATTGGTTAGAGGACTCAAATACCTTTCCAAAATGTCCAAGAACATGAGAAAAGCTTAAAAATTGAGCAAGTTATGCCTTGTGGAAGTTGGGAAAGTTTTGGATATTTTGAAAAGTCAACATTGGTTCAAATGACCTAAAAATGCTAATGGGCCCATTTTTATTCCATAATTCATCATCCATGACATATGCACGACCACTTGGCCCAAAGGGAAGTATTTTCTCATTTTTTATTTATTTATTTGAATTTTTATTTATATTAATTCATTTAAATCATTTAAATATATGAAAAATACTTAATTTAACCTAACAAATCTTTTTGCACATGTTTTAGACTCAATATTTCGTGCCTAGCTAAATAAGGAAAGAATTGGACTGATTGATCATGATTGAGAACAAAGAACACATGGAAAAGATATGAAAAGATCCTTAGAAAATCAAATTTCCAAATCAATGAATGCAATGGATTTGATTGAGTTTTTTTGACCTAATGCACTCACTACATATGCTAGAACACAACCCTAATGCAAACAGACACAAAGCTGCGCAAAAGAGCACAAAGAAAACTTGGAATTTTTGTCTAAAAAGTCAATTCTGAAATCATCTTTAGAGGCAGATTCAAAGCACAATTCTCATTCCATTAGCTTCCTCAAGGTCCCCTGAACACATTCCAATCAAGAACAACCATCCCAACGCAAGGAATTGGTATACAGAACCTGGAATACCTTGTGAAAAATTTGTGATCGTGTTTTAAAATTTATGCATCTTCATGACATATTATTCATTGATTCATATTCCTGATGAAGTTCTGAAGCTAACCAATATAGTTAATTGCTTTTTCATGTGCTACACGCGATTTCACCATGTTTGAGATTTAGGGTTTGCATGATGTTAAATTAGGGCTTTTGCGATAAGGAAAAATTAGAGGCTGAGACCAAGACCATTGGTTTCAACGCATGTGGACGAAGAAGAAGCACCCATCGCGCCTAATTTATGAACACCATAGGCCTAATCGCTATTTTCCCAAAAGCCACCTAACAAAACGCGTATAAAACCGTGGCCAATGAGTTCTTGTTTCAGAAAAATAAAAACACACGAAGAAGAAGGAGTCGTGGCAAGAGGTGATAGGCCGGTTTGAAATTCGCGCGCAGGATCCACTAACGCCTTTGTTTTTCTTTTTATTATTTATTCGTTATAATATGTTAACATGCGTTGTTTGGTTCAGTTGGCAAGCGAGGAGTGTATTAACGTCCAAGACCTGGGTTCGAGCCCCAGGTCTGTATAATTTCCCATATTATTTTGCTATATATGTTCACATGCAGTTTCAAAGGTGGAGCGCACCATACATCCTCCAGATCAAACCGCCCACGTGCTTAGTGGAATCAAACCAAAGGTTGAGATTGGGAGAGCACCATAAACCCTGGTCAAAGTGCTAACACGCTACTCAAAAAAGTCAAATGGACCCAGGTTTTTGGGCCAGGATTCTTGGATCTATACCTCCATATTGGGGTCTGAACCCCCCTGGTTTGCAATTCTCAACATTTTTCTTATATTTTATTTTCAATTACTATTTTATTTTCTTTATTGTTTTGATTTAATTAATTATTTTTTTAAAAAAATACAAAAACATCATAAAAAACAGAAAAGACAAAAAATATAATAAATATTTTATTTTAATTTTTCTTGTAAATAAATTTGCATATAATTAAATTTAGTTTTTTTTTAATTAGGTTAATTTTAATACTTTTAATAAAAAAATCTAAAAAGAAGTAGAATTAGGTTTAATTAATGTTTTTATCCCTTTTCAATTTTTCTTTCTTATAATAATATTTATTTATTTTATTTATTTTCATAATTAAAATTGTATATAAAAATTAGGTTTAATTTAGGTTAAATTCTAATATTTTCTTAATAAATTAAAATAAAGTAGAATTAGGGTTAGTAGTTAATTTTAATTAATTCTTTCTTTTTTTTCTTTTAAATCCTAAAATATTAAAAATACCAAAAAAAACAAAAACAATTTCTTTTCTTAATTAATTAATTCATGTAATTTTAATTTTTGCAAAAGGGTCCAACGCCCTCGTTCCGATTTAATTTCGCATATTTATTTTATTTTGCTTAAATAATTATGTACCTCTCCCGAAGCCTTGTAATTACTTCTCGCACTTTTAATTCTTTTACTTTCTTTATTTTCTGTCAAATCGGGTCCTGGTTAATTTTGGCGATGTGGACCCGTGCCATTTGTAATAGCTTTAGATTTACTTTCCCGCAAACTTTTAACTGTTAAACAAAGCATGCAAGAATGAATGGCCTTAAATAAAATCAAGCGTAGAACACCAAAAAAACATGACAAGACAAATATCTGAAAACGACACACAAATCACACACCACCCCTAGGGTACGCCTCACTGTTGCCTTGCCTCGAAAGGTGATCGTCGAGTAGAGGATGTCTTAGTAAGTCCTCATGATCCGGGAACCTGGCATGAGGGTAGCTTCTAAGGTGTCTTCCCATTGCTCTGGTGATCACCATGTCCCGAACCTCGAATTGACCCGAACACCTCCAACGGTGGTGCTACCTACCTCTCAATGGTGGGATGGCACTGCTTTAAAGGACATTTACACAGACGAATTCCTTAGGGTAGGTAGGTTCTCATAGATACTTGCTCTAAATCTCAAAATAATTCAAAAATACTTTTCACACCGACACCTTTTCAAAAAGCTTTCGAAAGCAATTTTTCAAACACTCTTGAGGACCGATACAAGAGTCAAACTGGAATTTTCAAAGAAACTTTTTAAAAACCCACAGTTGAAAAGCAAACAAACCATTTTTGAAAACACAAATGAGCAAGTATCTAAGAGCCCATGGATAACCATGGATAGAAAGGGTGCTAACACCTTCCCTTTCTATAACCTACCTCCCGAACCGAGAGCAATCTCTATAAGGAATTTTTCTGTGCTTTTGTCCTTTCCAATTGGAGAAAATAAAAGACGGTGGCGACTCTTGCTTACCGCGACATTTCGCAAACCAGCGTTAAACAGTCAGTTCCAGATCCACCGATCACACCACCCATATAGGCAATTAAAACGTCGGATCCCTAATTAGAATTCATACCACCCATAAAGACAATCAAAATGCTGGATCCATATGGAATCCTTACTGCCCATATAGGAAATCAGAATACTATATCCCTAAGTGGGATCCATGCCTCCTGTAGACGCGATTAGAACGTTGGATCCCTATGAGATCCTTGCCACATATAGAGACAATTAGAATATTGAATTCCTAAGTGGAATTTATGCCACCCATAGAGGCGGTCAAAATGCTAAATTCCTAAGAAGGATCCCTACCATTTATAAAGACGATCAAAACGTTGAATTCTATGGAATCTATATTTCTGTTCTTGGACTGAACAATTACTACTAATAACAACTTTAAGAGAGATAGCCATCCTAATTAGTTGACAAATGTCATAATTGATAGAATAAAATGTTTGCTTTATTGTATTGTATTGTTAAAAAAATTTGATTTTTTTTAAATTATTAAAATATTTTTTTACTTATGTACAAGCTTTTATTTTTTTACTCAAGACAGTTAAGACTTGTATTAATTTTTCTAAATTTTTTTTATTAAGATAAAATTTAGGTATAATTTTTAAGTGTGGTTCATACTATTTTCTAATAAAAATATGATAAGTGTATAATTTCATCTTATATAATTGCTTCTAGTTTCATTTCTTAAATGATATTTAAATATACTTGTCATATTTTTATTGGAAAATAGTAAGAATCACATTTAAAAAATTGTATCTAAGTTTTGTCTTTTTTATTATTAATTTTATATTAAATTTGAATTATAAATGATGTTAAAAATATCTAAATTATTTTTCATTTCAAAGAGTACTTGTTGTATGTGCCTATTTCATTTATATTTTTTCTTTCATATAATAAATGCAAAAAAGTTTTATTTTTTGGACAATATCAAAATTCCTTTCTTATAAAAAAAATATTAAGATAAAAACAGAAATATATTGTACCTTTTTTCACATATTTGAGAAAAATAGTATCTTTTAAGGTAAATAATGTTATGTTCATCAAGCAAAACAGGTTGATGAAGAAATTCAAAAGCAGAGTGATCTAATCAGCGAATATAATCCTTGTAAATGAATATCTTAGTTACACATTATATATAAATTAAGGCTAAAACATATTATTTGTAAATGAATATTTTAGTTATACAATTTATATAATGTAGACTTTAAGCATTGTATAAATAAATAAATAAATAAATAAACTCGATTGAATATGTCACATTTATGATTCACGTGTCCACATCTTTGTAAATGACTAAACTCATTCACCAAATGATTATTGAAGATATTAATTAAATAATCTTTGTTCAGAGAGAGTTCATCAAATAATTATATTGAAAATATTAATTAAATACTGAACAACGGTATCTTGATGAATTACAAACCAAAAAAAATTAGAAACCATAAAGTTAACAACTTGAGAACAGTGAGAGTCTTACAAGTGAGTATGTTTGAAAGAGATTTCATCTCTAAAGTTGAACAATACAGACTAAGTTTTAGGGTTTCAACCCCTCTCTGTATTGCTGAGGTGACAAGGTTGTTGACAATTTCGGGATCGGAACCCATAAAGCGGACTAATGGTATTGGCGATTTGATGTCACTAGATAGCATGGCTTGTATGGCTGAGCATACAACATTCTTTGGGTGAAAATCAAACATATCAAAAGTAGGGACAGAAAGCCATATTGTTTTCCACCTCCTTGAGAGGATGCTTGTGCGGACAGCTAATTTGGTTGAGAGATAAGAGAGAATGTGACACAGAATTGGGTCAGGAAGGTCATTAATCCTATCTTGAACTAGGGTTGGATTTGAAGATGACAATGGCTCTATCCGAAGGAGAGAGGTTACCCTATCTTTGGTTGAATTCGAACGCTTTCGCGAGGTTGACCTATCTTTTGTTGAAATCGAGGGTTGCCTGCTTAGCACAGTTGACCTATCTTTGGTTGAAATAGAGGGTTGCTTTCGCTTGGACATGGCAGTTGAAAAACCAATGAATTCTGATTTGGTTAAACAAGTACAAACAAATGGTGATAAAGTACTATTGACAGTAAAGTAAGTCAGGCCTTGTGTGAAAAAGGTATCTTAATGACCCAATAAGTTTTATGTATTGGGTTGGGTCGACACCATCTTCGCCTGAATCTTTCGACAGTTGCAATTTTGGTTCTGTAGGTATCAAAGTCGAGTTGTATTCTTCCATCTCAAATCTCTTGAGAATTTATCCTGTATATCTTCTTTGATGCATCGTCAACCTCTACTACTCTTGTAAAATTCTATGTCAAGAAAATATGAAATGACACCTAGATCTGACATTTCGAATTCCTTAATGAGATCACCATTAAAGTCTTTGATCTCTTTCTTGCAGCTACCTGTTATTAACAAATCGTCGATATAGAGACATAATATAAGCGATCACTATTTCTTCTTTGTACATATACTCCATGTTCAGTTCTGCACTTCACAAATTCTTTCTCCCTTAGAAAGCTATCTATTTTCTTATTCCAAGCTATTAGAGCTTGTTTCAATCCATACAAGGCTTTATGCAGTCTGTACACCTTTCTCTCTTTGCATGTTTCATAAACCCAACTGGTTATGCGACATAAACATCTTTGCCTAAGGGTCCATTCAGGAATGCCATATTTCATGTCCATCTGACATATGTGTCAACTGTTCATTTCTGCTAGACCAATAACCAACCTGATTGTTTCGATTCTAGCAACATGTGCAAAAACCTCATCGATGTTGATTCCTTCTTTCTTTAGAAATCCTTTCGCCACAAGTCTTGCCTTGTGACGAGTTACTTCCCTTTTGGGATTCAAATTCACCTTGTATACCCACTTTACATTGAATTTCTTCTTTCCTTAAGGAAATTCGACAAGTGACCAGGTGTTGTTGTCTTCGATGGACGCTACTTCTTCATTCATTGCTTTCACCCACTCTGAATCCTTCAACGCTTCAGTTGCATTGACTGGTTCAACATATGCATAAAAAGAATAATGTACCAGCTCATCTTCATCATCTGATGTAATCACACAATCTTGCAACCTTTTAGGCTTGTGTCTTATTCTCTGAGGTTTTCTTGTAATTGGTTGATCTCTAACTTCCTCTTGTCGAACTTCTCTTTTGACTTGAGTTTCTGGTTCTTCAAGTAAGATTCTCGCTGAATCTTTCTTGACATTTCCAGTTTAATCCCATTCTTTAAGCTCATCTATGATCACGTCCCTATTGATCACAATCTGCTTGTTCACTAGGTCGAACAACTTGTAACCTCCTGTCGAATGATATCCTACTAGGATCATTTGACTCGACTTGCCATTAAATTTTTTTCTCAATTGATCTGGCACATGTCTATGTGAAATAGATCCAAATACTTTCAGATGACTCAAGCTAGGCTTCATACCAGACTAACATTCTTCTAGAGTAATTATTTCTAGCTTCTTCGTCGGACATCTGTTCAAAATGTATGTTGCAGCCGACACAACTTCACCCCAAAACACTTTAGGTAAATGTTTGCATTTCAACAAACTTCTCACTATATTCATGATAGTTCAATTCTTCTTTTCTGCAGTTCCATTATGCTGTGAAGTGTTGGGTGGTACCACTTCATTCACAATCCCTTCTTTCCCACATAATTTATCAAAGTCTTTTTACACATACTCTCCTCCACCATCAGTTCTCAAAATTGTGATCTTTCGACCACTTTTCCTTTCGACCATAGATTTAAACTTGACAAATACCTCGATCACTTCACTTTTCTTCTTGATCAAGTAATTCCATAGTTTTCAACTGAAATCATCTATGAATGTGACAAAGTATTTGTTACATCCTATCAAATCCACCTGGATTGGTCCATATATATCAGAGTATATGACTTCAAGGATTGCCTTCGACTTGCTTCCTGCATCCTTGCTGAAGTTGTTCTTGTGATGCTCTCCTGTACATATTCCCCACACACCTCGTTTGGAATATCGATTTATGGTAATCCTGAAACCATATTTCTTCTCTTCAAATCTCTGATGTATCTGAAATTGAGATGGCCAAGTCAATAATGCCATATCTATTCATCTTTGCTAGCTGTAATTTCTAGGCATTTGTACTCCATCACATTTAGTTCAATCTTGAAAGTTTTATTCTGAGACATAGGAGCCTTCAAGATTAACCTTCCTCTTGCATCGACGACTCTCATCATCTTGTCTTTGATCGAAACTTTATAATTCTTTTCGACTAACTACCCTATGCTGAGCAAATTGATCTTCATGCCTGGTATGTACAACACATTGGAAATTACTGACCTTTTGCCATCTTTTCTCATTATCAGAACATCTCTAATACCTTCAGCTGCTAGAGTATTGTCATTTGAAAATTTCACCATGTTCTTCATTGAGGATTTTATGTTAACAAACCAAGATTTTCTTCCAAACATGTGTGATGAACATCCTTAATCCAAGTACTATTGGTCCTTGAATTTCTCTTCATATTTGGTTGCAACCATCAACACCATCTCCTCTACCAGTCTAATTGTTGTATCCTCCTCTACATTTGTTGTCGAACCACTTTCTTTTGCCTTTCTTATCTCTTGTTGAATGCGCCTGCAAAGCCATATCACTTTTCGACTTTCCTGCAGCTCTTTCAGCCATTCTTTGTTCATAACATTTAAGTGTCCCTTAAAGCTCTTCCTTTGACAAAGTTGACACGTCCTTCGACTCTTCTATGGACAATGCATGTTCGGATGATTCATTTCCATCGTTCTCACTTACCTTGAATCACTCAACTGGAGCTCTTGATACCAGTTTTGGAAATCCACCAAAACTTATGATGAATTTTTATCAATCTTGATGAACAGGATTATTATTACCACACAATGACAATAAAAAGAAAAGAAAATTAAAGAAGAAAAGAGATTAAGGGTTTCTATAGAGTAACTCTTGTTAGAACAAGATTTAGATTCTACAATTAATCTCTGAATTTTGATGATAAAAATACATATACTTTATATGTAAATGAATTTGTTTATAATAATTTCTTAAGTGTGCAGATTAGAAGTTCTAATTAATTCAGGACTGGTGTATGAAGAATCATCATAAATATACTAAGCACTCATCAAAAAGACTATTGCATGATCTTCCAAATAAGCATCATTAGTTCTGAAGAATGTTGAATGTTCTCTAAAAAAGTATCTCAACGTGTACTTCTCAATAAGTTGTTGCTTCATAAGTCACAAGTGTTTCTATAAGAAAGGATTTTTGGTAGAGCTTCTGCTCCAAGATCAGAAAATGATATTGCACTAAAGACAAGCTTTCACTTTAAAGATCAGAAGTATAGATTTGTTTGTCAGAGAAGTTGTTGCTTCTAACTCTAAACACAAATTCAAGATAAAGATCAGGATATCAAAAATCAAGATGTGGCTGATAAATATCAAGATTAGAAATCAAGATATCAGACATCAGATATGCATATCATAAGTCAAGACTCAAAGATCAAATATCAAGACTTGTGAATCATAAAAGCTTTCACCTATAGACAAAGACGTGTTCCTCAAATAAGTTATTGATTTTCTATATCTGAAGACATTGTTCTAATTCTTAAATATTCGGATACTAATGCAATGGAAGATCTTCTGGATTCATTCTCATTTCTAAGATTATATATCACATACACCTTCCAGATAAAGTTCAGTTCTAGATCAGAAGTCAAGCTTCGTATTTCAAAAAAGTTGTTGCTATCATTTATGAAAGACAAGATTCTGATTTTGACTACTCTAATGTTCTAATGCTATCATAACAAACTAGTTTCTGAACTACTCATCAGATAATTCATCAAAATAACTAAAACAAGAAGTTGATCTCTTCCAAGCTTACTACTTCAGATCAGAAGTACATTGTAACGCCCGTAATTTAATTAATTATTTAATTAAAATATTTTTGGATTATTTGTGAAGTTGTGTTATGATGATAGATGTTGTGTTGTGGTTATTTGAATTAATTTATTCGATTAAGTTGTAGAATAATATTAGAATAATACTATTATTTGATGTGGGCTTATTTTTAATGATTAGAAGTAGTAGAAAGGGGGTGTAGGAATTTAAGCCCATTAAGACATAATAAGAGTTATAATGTTATTATATTAGTTATTGAGAAATCTTAAGAAAAGGGAAGTAACGGTAAGAAGAAAAGAAAATAAGGGTTTGAAGAGATAGAGAACATGAAAGTTACCAAGAAGGAGGAAAAGAGGCAAAGTGGAATTCGATCGGAAAATTGTAGAGCAACCTTCAATCCAAGGTAAGGGTGGAGTTCTGACTCTATAATAAGGTTTGTGATGAGTAGTATATGGGATTGGATTTGAAAAAAAAATAAAAAAATAAATAAATATATATATATATATATATATATATATATATATATATATATATATATATATATATATATATATTGTTGTTGTTGTTTGATAAGGAATCAATGATTTAGAGATGAATAATGATGCCCAAATGATATATAATTGATGTAGAAATATAGGATTATTATAAGTGATGATTAACTATGATTAGATGATGTTTTAGGACCTAGGGCAGGGAGATCACAATGAAAACACAGAATAAATTCAGCACAGATCAGTACGAGTCGACCTCAAAGGCCATGCGTTGACACATGTAGGATTTAAGACTCAGGATGAGTCTATACGAAAGGATCATGCATCGACACATGCAGTATTTCAAACTCAGTATGAGTTGAAACAAGAGGTTACGCATCGACTCATGCAAGATTCCATACCCAGTACGCTTCGACTCAAAGAGGCACGCGTCGACTCATGCAGTCCAATTTTTGACAGATTTTTCCAAAGGCTGTAACTTGAGTTTCCGGACTCCGTTTGAGGTGCCGTTTGAAGCGTTGGATTGCTAACACGATGAAATTCATTCATAAGGATTAAAATGAAGGATAAGAAGAATAATCCTATTACCAAAATTAGGATAGAGTTAGCTT